ATCAGCATCCTCAATGTCAGCATCATCATCAGCATCGTCATCATCAACATCATCATCATCAGCATCATCATCATCATCATCATCATCATCATCATCATCATCATCATCGTCATCAGCATCAGCATTATCATCAGCATCAGCATCGTCATCATCATCCCCATCATCGACAGCAGCAGCACCAGCATTATCGTCAGCATCATCATCATCAGCAGCAGCAGTATCATGAGCAGCATCATCAGCATCAGTATCAGCATCATCATCCTCGATGTCATCATCATCATCATCATCATCACCACCACCATCACCATCATCATCATCATCAACAGCAGCAGCAACAGCAGCATCATCATCGCAATGATCATCATCGACAGCAGCAGCACCAGCATCATCGTCAGCATCGTCATCAGCATCAGCATCATCATGAGCAGCATCATCAGCATCATCGTCATCATCAGCATCATCAGCATCACCGTCCTCATCATCATCACCATCCTCATCGGTATCATCATCATCAGAATCCTCATCATGATCAGCATCATCATCCGCAGCAGCATCATCATCGTCGCAAGCAGCATCAACATCGACATCAACAACAGCATCAACAACATCATCATCAGCAGCATCAGCATCAGCATCAACATCATCAGCATCATCACCATCATCAGCAGCATAAGCATAATCAGCATCGTCAACCTCATCAGTATCATCATCATCAGCAGCAGCACCATTATCAGCAACCACATCAGCATCAGCATCATCAGTATCATCACCATCATCAGCATCGTCATCATCATCAGCATCAGCATCATCAGCATCAGCATCATCATCAGCATCATCACCATCATCATCAACATCATCATCTCCCGCCCCCTGCTCCTCCGCCTCTTCTTCCTCTTCCTCCTCCTCCCCCTCCCCCTCCACCCCGTTGTCCCGCGCCACTCGTCACCATGTTCGCCCTCCTTCGAATACACCTCATTCTCCAGATCAGATTCTTCAGCATCCTCATCTTACTCCCTCCCTTCCCCCCCTGCTCCTCCTCCTCTGTCTCCTCCTCTTCCTCCTCCTCCGCCTCCTCCTCCTCTTCCTCCTCCTCGCCCTCCGCCTCCTCCCCCTCCTCCTCCGCCGCCGCCGCCTCCTCCGCCCCCTCATCATCCTCCTCCTTCTCCTCTGCGTCGTCTTGGTATCGGTCTTCATATGACTAGTATGCGTATTCTATTTGGTTGCGTTAATAGTCTTATTATTATATGTCGTATTAACTGTTAATATTAACATCTTCCTTATCATTATTATGATTAGTCGTCTTCGTCTTCTTCCTCCTCCTCCTCCTCCTTCTCCTCCTCCTCCTCCTCCTTCTCCTCGCCCCCCCTTCGTCCTCGTCCTTATCCTTCCCCTCCACCTCATCCTCCTAGTCCTCCTCCTCGTCCTCCTCCTCATCCTCCTTCTCCACCGCTTCCTCCTCCGTGTCATCTTCCTCATCCCTGTCGTCTTCTGCGCACTGCTCACCATCGTTGCCCCCACCCCCAAACCCTATCCTCGCCGTCATCATCATCATCATCATCATCATCATCATCATCATCATCATCATCATCATCATCAGCATCATCATCATCATCATCATCATCATCATCATCATCGATCATCATCATCATCATCGCCTCATCATCATCAGCATCATCATCATCATCAGCATCACCATCATCATCATCATCATCATCATCATCATCATCATCATCATCATCATCATCATCATCATCTGCATCATCATCAGCATCAGCATCAGCATCAGCATCATCATCATCATCATCAACATCATCATCACCACCATCATCAGCATCATCATCACCATCATCATCATCATCATCGTCATCATCATCATCATCACCATCATCATCATGGGCAGCAGCATCAGCAGCATCAGCATCATCATCGTCATCATCATCAGCATCAGCATCAGCATCATCAACCTCATCCTCATCCTCACCCTCATCCTCATCCTCACCCTCATCCTCACCTTCCGCATCGTCATCTTCATCCTCATCATCATCCTCGTCGCCAGCATAATCATCAGAATCATCACCATGTTCAGCATCATCAGCATCATCATCATCATCAGTATCAGCATCAGCACCACCATCAGCATCAGCATCATCAGCATCTTCATCGTCAGCATCATCATCATCATCAACAGCAACATCATCATCATCATCATCATCATCATCATCATCATCATCATCATCATCATCATCATCATCTGCAGCAGCAGCAGCATCAGCAAAAGCATCATCATCAGCAGTAGCAGCATCAGCAGCATCATCCTCATCATCAGCATCATCATCATCGGCATCAGCAGCATCATCATCAGCATCATCACCATTCTCATCAGCAGCGTCATCAGCATCATCGCTAGGATCATCGTCATTATCATCATAATCATCATGATCATCGGCATCATCAACATCATCATCATCATCAGCATCATCACCTTCCTCACCCATCATCATCAACAGCAGAAGCAACAGCATCCGCTTCATCATCAGCATCATCGTAATCGTCATCAGCAGCAGCAGAATCCTCATCAGCATCATCAGCATCAGCATCAGCATCATCATCATACTCAGCATCAGCCTCAGCATCATCAGCAGCAGCATCAGCATCCGCATCATCATCATTTTCAGCAGCATCATCAGAATCAGCATCATCATAAACAGCATCATCAGAATCAGCGTCATCATCAGCAGCATCAGCATCCGCAGCAGCATCATCATCATCATCATCATCATCATCATCATCATCATCATACGTAAGCATCATCAGCATCATCAGCATCGTCATGAGCAGCATCATCAGCAGCAGCATCAGCATCACCATCAGCAGCAGCATCAGAATCAGCCTCATCACCCTTATATTTAACAACAACAACAACAACAACAACAACAACAGCAACAACAGCAACAACAGCAACAACAGCATCATCACCACCGCCAGCATCATCGTCCTCATCAACATCAGCATCATCATTGTCATAAACGTCAGCATCATCATCATGATAAGCATAATCATCATCATCATCATCAACATCCGCATCGTCGTCATCGTCATCCTCAGCATCATCATCATCATCATCATCATCATCATCAGCAGCAGCAGCATCATTATCACCATCGTCATCGTCATCATCATCAGCAGCAGCATCCTCCTCCTCCTCCTCCTTCTCCTCCCCGTCGTTCCCCGCCCCCTCCTCACCATCTTCGCCCCACTCCGAATCCTCATCCTCTCTCTCCTCCATCACCGCCTTGCGCCGCGGCCCATCGGAGTACAGGGAACTCGGGGAGGGGGGGACGCAAGGCACGGGAATCTTCGCGTACTCCTGCCACCCCGCTGGGGACGAACACCTCTCTGGCCCAGACCGCAGAGAGCAAGGCGTGGTTGTCGTCGCGCCCCATCCAGGTCACCCAGGCGAAGGGTCATGAATCGAACGACCTAATGTCCAAATCCACACGCTCGCGACCTGGATTCCTTACCGCGATCTCCTGGATACGCGATCCCATGGGCACGTTCCGCGCAAGGCATCCGCGCACGAGTCCGCCCTGTACCCATATCTCCGACGTCGTAATCGTTCCACAAAGCTGACCACCAGAGGTCTGGCCCTCTTCTCCTCCTCCTCCTCGTCCTCCTCCTCCTCCTCGTCCTCCTCCTCCTCGTCTTTCTCCTCCTCCTCCTCGCCTCGTCCTCGTCCTCCTCCTCCCATCCTCCTCCATTCCTTCTCCTTATAGACAACTCCTCCCTGTCTCACCCCGAGGCCGGTCGAAGGGGCGGGCGGGGCGTTTCGCCTGAGACTTCCTGGCCATGGGTAACCCTGATGCTGTAAATTCGCAACAGCATCACAGTTGGAGGGCGGGTGGTTTTCAAAATGTGGCTCTCGCCTTAGCCCGGCGCACACTCGTTTTAAACATTTGCAAGAGTTTTACGGATTGAGGGCGGATAGTTTTCAAAATGTGGCTCTCGCCTTAGCGCCGCGCACATTCGTTATAAACATTGCAAGAGCTTCACGGATTGAGCGCGGGTGGTTTTCAAAACGTGGCTCTGGCCTTAGCGCTGCGCATATTCGCTGTAAAACGATGCAAGAGTGTCATGGATTGAGGGCGGGTGGTTTTCAAAATTTGGCTGTCGCCTGAGCGCCACGCACACTCGTTGCAAAAAAGTTGCAAGAGCTCCACGGATTGAGGGCGGGTGGTCTTCAATATGTGGCTCTCGCCTTAGCGCCACAAACAGATGCAAGAGCTTCACGGATTGAGGGCGGGTGGTGTTCAAATGTGGCTCTCGCTTTAGCGCCGCGCACACTCGCTTCAAACAATTGCAAGAGCTTCACGAATGGAGGGAGGGTGATTTTCAAAACGTGGCTCTCCCCTGAGCGCCACGCACATTTTTACTAAACAGTTGCAAGAGCTCCACGGATTGAGGGCGGGTGGTTTTCAAAATGTGGCTCTCGCCCCCGCGCCGCACACAGTCGTTCTAAAAAGTTGCAGGAGCTTCACGGATTGAGGGCGGCTCATTTCCAAAATGCGGTTTTTGCCTCAGCGCCGCGCGCATTCGCTATAAGCATCTGCAAGAGTTTCACTGACTCTCATGGTCAACGTACCAAGAATGGCTTTTGGGAGCGACTCAGGACCGTCCGGGCGCAACAGTTACGTTGATTCGCGGTGCTGATGTCCTAGGAACGGTTCAGGATTGCCACGACGTAGCAGTCAGGTTCACTTGTGGCGCTGAAGTCCTGAGAATGGTGTTTTGGCACGCTTCCAAATTTTCACACGGCTGTCCCCCGACGGGCCAAGTTCCTCAGTGAAAATGACCCCCTGTAGGGGCCTATGAAGAGGGATCTTGGAGGGAGGGTGCATCTCAACATCGTTGATGAGTCTTGAGTCTACACTCCTCCTCCTCCTCCTCCTCCTCCTCCTCCTCCTCCGCCTCCTCCTCCTCCTCCTCTCCTCCTCCTCCTCCTCCTCCTCCTCCCTCCACCTCCTCCTCCTCCTCCTCCTCCTCCTCCTCCTCCTCCTCCGCCTCTCCCTGCCCCCTCTCCTCCTCCTCCTCCTCCTCCTCCTCCTCCTCCTCCACCTCCTCCTCCTCTTCCTCCTCCTCCTCCTCCTCCTCCTCCTCCCAGGGCCGGGTTTTCAGCCCTGACCGTTTTCTGACGGTCCGGACATGAGGTCGGGCCCAGGAGTCCAGACGTGCCTCTCGCACACGAGGATACAGCCATCGTGCTGCTTACTGCAAGGGACGCTGAAGAAGGAGCGACGGGGATTCTCTGGCCTCGGCGAGCCTCTGCCGCGAATACAGTAAGGAACATTTGCTTTGCGTTTCGAGGCGGCGGCCCCGGCGACACGCTATGACCTGCAGGTGGACAGCGTGTCGCTCCGCTCCGTGGGGCGGGGGGCTGGGAAGAGCTCGGGACGCTGATGCTCGGGAACGGGAACGTAGCTGGCATGTCGCGCCGAAGCGTGGTGAGCCAGAACTGGCGGCGCGACACGCTGAGCCAAAATTCCTGACCGTAGGCTCCCAGACATAGATCCAAGAGACGGTCCGAAGATCAGTGCCAGAGCCCCTGCAGAGCAAAAAGTGGACCGTATCTTGCAGCCTCCAGACTGCAGGAGGCGAGGGGTGCGGCAAGTAACGGGCCGAGCAAGACTCCCACAAGCGGGTCCTCTTCCCGAAGGGGTTCCAGCGAAACGGGAACCCGGCGTCGGCGTCGTGCTCGCGCAGCTCACCCTGCGAGCTCCCTCCTCGCTTCCCACTGCTCAGGGGTCGTCCTTCTCCTCCAGGTGGAGTGAGCGAGAGAGAGAGAGAGAGAGAAAAAAAAAAAAAAGGACAAACACACAGACAGAGAGACAGAGACAGAGACAGAGACAGAGACAGAAACAGAGAGAGCGGCCCGTGGGGAGGCGAAGGGTCGCCTAGCCAGGCGGTGCGCCAAGCCAGAAGCCTCAGCGCAGCGTCCAGAGCATTGCGAAGTTACTCAGACATGGAAGGAAGAGGAGAAGGAGGAGGACGAGGAGGAGGAGAAAAGGAAGAGGGTTGAGGTCTTCTGGGGGAAAGGTAGCTTGGGGGGGCTGCTCCTTCTGCTCCACCCTCACCTGTTCCTTCGCATTCGTTCGATCATCACTCGCTCGCTCGCCCGCTGGGCCGCGAGGACCACAGAGGTGCCCAGCACAAGCAATACTTTCACGATGCATCCCACGCGAGGGTCCACACGGGTCAAGCCAGCTCGGAGGACGGAGTGGCAGGAACGGGCACAAACGACGCGGGGGCGGAGCACAAGAACAACGAGGAGGATCGTGGCGTGCAGCAGCAGGGCAACGGGGATAGGAAAGGTGAGGGTGGCCAACAGGAATGGCCGACGGCAGCTGGAATCTGCCCATGCCTGCTGGGACGGCTGGGGGGACGATGCTCACCGGTTTTAGGCCTGCCCACTAGAGGCGGACAACAAAAACGTTACTAGAATGTTGCGTGGTGCAATATACGTGGTGCAATTCATTATGAAGAACGGAATTGTTAACTGAACTGCTCGCGCAATCGTCCCACCCACCCACCAGCAACTTGGTTTGCAAAACCCGTGCGGCGGTGATTGCGATCAGTTCTCATGCGCTAGCTGGCGAATCTCTGCGGCCGCGCTGGCGCGCGCAAACTCGCGCGCAAAGCGGCAATCTGGTTTGGCACGGCCGATGCAGCCGCGATGGCCTTTACCGATGGGAAGTTCCCAGCGCGCGTCTTAGGCCGCGCTGTCGCGCGGGCACTTCAATGCGGGTCGGTGGCACAGGCGGGCGCGGTATCATGATGACGTCGACAACGGCGGCAACGATGATGACAGTAGCGATGATGGTGACGATGATGACGATGACAACGGCAAGGCCAGTGACGGCGCCGATGCTGATAATGCCGATGGCGATGATGATAGTATCCATGTGTCGTTGGTAAAGTTTTGAAAGGACTTCGACATACGCGCGCGGGACTCTCGCGAGTGGCCCGCGTAATACTACGCGACCGGGATCGTGCCCCCGCCCCCCGAGCAAGCGCGCAAGGGCGTTCGAACGATTTTGATATATGCACGCGAGAGGCACGCGTGGCAAGCTGGCTGGACCGCCAGCTAGGCCCAAACGGGCGGGGGCGACGGGCGGCGACGTGCTGCGACAAGCCGGCCGGACCACCAGCCAGGCCCAGTTCCTTACAAGACAAATAAGGGCCCTAAGTGCAAGCACTGTCTGGGGAAAACGACAACGAAAACGAAGCTCAGCCCCAGCGACATCTTTCACGCAACAGTCCGCACTGTGATCGAACAGCATTGCACTTGAAAGCGTAGAACAAGCTTCCAAAAGAGAAGGGAGGATGAGGAGGAGGCGGAGGAGGAGGAGAAAGACAACAACGACGACGACGACGACGACGACGACGACGACGACGACGACGACGACGACTACGAGGAGATCGAAGCGCAAAAGTGAAGCGCAACACACACTGCCCGAAAAGTTGAGTGCGAAGCTGCCCGAAGCCGAGGGCGGTTGCACGTACGTGAGCGGGGGGGATTGGGGGGCCCGGCGCCAGCAGACCCCTCGATGGAGAGGCGCTGGGGAGCACGAGACTCGGGGACAAATCTGCCCGCTCCTCCTGCTCCTCCCCCTCCGTCCTCAGAGGTCTCTGGAGATTCCCCCTGGGCCCCCAGAGGCCCCGGGAGGTCCACGGAGGCCTCGGGATGAGCCTCGGCGATCCAGCTCATGAGCCTCGACCGAAAGCGTTCCAAATCATCGCCACTCGATACTCCTCTCTCTCTCTCTCTCGCTCTCTCCCCCACCCCTTGGGCTCGAACATATCCTCTGATCCATCCACGCAGCCTCCTCCCGACCTCCTTGGGAAGAGGGGGAGGAGTAGACGTAGGCTGATGCACGCCGGTGCACCCGAGGAGAAGGCGGCGCAGAACTCTACAGGAGGCGGGGCTTCGTCGCGATCGAGCAGTGAGACGCGGGGAGAGGCCGGATCGAATGTGAAGAAACGGCGTGCTGGTGCTCAACGGCCAGAGGCGGGAGCACTGTTTTGCCACGACAGTTTCTGACCCGAACGCCCCGCCCAGCCACACGAGGAGGAGGAGGAGGAGGAGGAGGAGGAGGAGGAGGAGCAGGAGGAGACAAAGGAGGAGGACAAAGGAGGAGTGAGGAGGACGGGAGGAGGAGGAGGGGGTGGAGAAGGAGGATGGACGGATGGGACAGGAGGGGGGGGGGGGGGAGGGGGGGGATGGGGAGGGGAGGGGAGGGGAGAGGGAGGGAGGGGGGGGTTAGGGGAGCGATCCCCAAACGACCCCCCGCGACCGATCGGGGCTCCCCTCCCTCCTGGGCTCGCGCACGCCCGCGCGCGCCAGGAGCGGCCCGGCTCGGCACGCCGCCTCGACGCGGCCCCGAGGCGCGGAGAGCCGGCCGCGAGCCGCCCGCGGCCCGCCCAGCTGCGGCTCCGCTCCCGCGGGAGAGCCGCGCACCGCTCGCTGCCCCCGTCGGCGGCGCGCCGAGAGGGGCGAGGTGCGCCGTGTTCTGGCCCGTCGTCGGGCCCCAAAACGTTTCCGTCGCACCAAAAAGTCACGGAGGCACCAACTGAATTCGGCAAGAAGGCGCACGAGCAGGACGGAGCGCTTCCTCGTGGAGCTCTCCATCGGCTACACGCAGGAGTGCCCCTGGGCAAGAGTGACCTGTGGTGCGCGCCCTCTGGGGGGCCGCGGGGGGGGGGCCAAACACGAGCGCGCAAGACGCTACTATGGCATCGCGTTCGGCGATCGGGGGAACCCTTTGGGCCCCCACCAAAGGTCACTCCGGCGAAAGGTCACTCTTACGTGTAGTCGACTCCAGCAGCTGCGCCTTGGCGAGAGCGTCCCGGGGGTGTCCGGATCGTCCCGAGCGGCCGCCGGACCCGAGCTATGACCCCCGAGAACCACAATCAGCGGCGCGCGCGAGGGTGGAAGCGGGAGGGGGCAGGCGTTCTCAGAAGGCGGCGGGACTTAGAAGCCCTCCTGACTACCTACCAGACCACCCCAACCCAACCCGAAGACCCGAATTTCGGGTTGGGGGGGTAAGGGTTCCACATGCGTTTTTTCGATGTTTCCCGACCCCCCCCCCCCCACTGGAAAGCGAGGGTAAATCTGAGCCTTCGGGTTGGGTTGGGGTGGTTTGGTGGGTGGTGACCTCCAGCCTTCTGAGAAGCTTTCTGCGGCTTCGCAGGGGGCGCACGTCCGATCCGATCACGCTGCACAAGCACCTCATAGCATGTCGTTGCCCAGACGGTATGGCCAGAGAGCGCCCGCCACGGAGCATGCACTGTAAGATGTCTGAGCGCGCGCGTCACCTCTGGGGGGGGGGGCCGCCGCACTCTAAGCAGGAGTGCGTTGCCCTCATTCCTCCCCGCCCTCCTCCGCCTGCTTGCCCTCATTCCCGCCCTTCCGTCCCTCCTGCGGGGGAGGGGCGTCAAGGTGGGGCAAGGGCAGAGGTCGGATCAGAAATGTATACATATACATATATATATGTGTTTATATATATGTTTAGTTATATATATATATATATATATATGTGTATATACATATGTGTGCGTATGCGGCACCTGGGTGAATGTTGTTCACCGCAAACACGCCACTAACAGCTCGCCTCTAGGAATCGGTCGCCCAAAATCACTGGACACCTCAATCGTCGGGAAGACAGAAATGCAAGCATCCAGCCGGATTCGTTCCCTTCCCCCACCTTTGGATAACCACCTCACTGCGGACCCCCGACTCCTCGCCCCGCCCCCCCCTCCCTCCCCGCTCCCCTTGATTCCCAGCGATGTGACGTCTTGATGTTTTCCATGCGCGGCCCCCGCAAGTCCGGAGCCCTGGCTCAAGTCCGGAGCCCTTTCGGGAGGCTTGGCTTCTCATCCCGATCCGTTTTTCTGATCCTACGGATAGCCCGGTGAAGGTGCGCCCAGAAGCAGCAAACGGAAAAAAAAAAAAAAAAAAAAAAAAAAAAAAAAAAAAATGTTGTTGTTCTTTTTGCAAACAAAAAAAAACTCCGACCTGATCCTTCAATACGCTGGAGGCCTGGGCCCTCCCCCTTGGGAGGGCGGCAAAGAGGGGGACGAGACGCGCGAAGCGCAGCCGGAGAGGCCCGCCTGCTGCACCTGCACGGCGCCGGCGCACAGGAGAGAGTGGAGCGCGAGGGCACGCCGCATAGACCTCGGCGGCGCGGCCGAGAGGGGAGGGAGAGGCACGGGGAACCGTGGATCAGAAAACAAACTAGGGGGCCACATGCAAACCCTACCCCTACCCCCCGCGATTTTTGAGGGGGAGGGTGGGGTTCACTTCGCTCGTGAGCTCCCGAACGAAGTGAACCCCAGCCTCCCCTTCAGAAATCGTGGGGGGTAGGGGTAGGGTTCGCATGTGGCCCCCTACAAACGACACCAACCCACCTACGACCCCACGGGGCTCGGCGTATACCAGGAGATCAGGCGTGGTTTTGTTGCGTGGTATTACTCTACGGCGCCCCATGGGCCGTAGCGCAACATGGAGGGCCGTAGGTGGGGTGGTGCCGTTTGTTTTTTGGTCGAACTGGGTCCTCCCAGAGCACCCGGCTTCTTGAAAGAAAAAGGGGGTGAAAACAAAAACCAACAAAACAAAAAGGGACGGAGGTTCTTCGCCGCTCTCGGCCTCTGAGCGCCCTCGCAGGGCCCCGGGACCGCCAGAGAACGGCCCAGGATGAGAAGCCAGAACCCTGGGTTTGGTTTTGAGCTGGACGCGTGCTGGAATCAAGCGCTGACTCCCAGGCGGGGTCGCACAGCGACGAGGGAGACCGACGGGGGCCCGAAGCCGCAGCGCAGCGAGGACCAGAGCAGACACGAGCGGCGGAGGGACCGACCAAGCAGAACCAAGGCCCGCAAAACCACGCGGGGACATTCGCATGAGCAAGCTGCAGCTCGTCAGGGCAGCGCAGCTGCCATGTCACCTCTTGTCCCGACAGCGCCGATGCACGTTGGGGCCGTGCCAGTCGGCTGGCAGATGCGAGTTCGCCAGCCCTGGGGAGAGGGTCGAGACTTCTGGGGGGAGCCCGTGCCGAGAAGAGCAGGGTATTGGATCTCGGGGGGGGGAGGAAGAGGAAGAGGAGGAGGAGGAGGAGGAGGAGGAGGAATAGGAGGAGGAGAGGAGGAGGAGGAGGAGGTGGAGGAGCGAGGGTGGCGGAGGAGGAGGGGGAGGAGGAGGGGAGGGAGGAGGAGGAGGAGGAGGAGGAAGAAGAGGTGGAGGCGGTTATGGAGGAGGAGGTAGTAGGAGGAGGTGGAGGGGGAGGAGGAGGAGGAGGAGGCCGCGCGCGCGAGCTCCCCGAGGGTAGCCGAGCGGGACACGCGAGGCGCCTTGGACTCCATCCGCCTCGGAGCTATGGGTCCGCCTCTGGAGCGCTCCCCGCTCCCGGAGGCCCTCGACCGCAGCCTCGATGTCGACTTCGCGCCGTAGGCTCGCTTCCGAGGGCCCCGAGGCTCCCCTCTCCCGGAGGCCCTCGACCCCATCCTCGATATCGATTTCGCGCCGCGGGCTCGCTTCTGAGGGTCCCGAGGGCCCGAACAGACCCTCGGGGGGCGCTCCACCGACGAAACAATGGACGACGCATCGGAGAACAGATCCGATAGGCTCCCAGAGACTGCCAGCGGCTGAGACAAGAGCCGCCGCCCTGCTCCCAAGCCGCCCAGCATCGTCCTCCGCGCCCCGCAGAGCGCGCGAGGTGCGGCCACCTCCGCGCTCTTCGCGCAGCCCACCCCCGCCCCCCCCTTGGAGGGGAACGTCTCCTCCGGCCCAGGTCGCGAGGCGAGAGGTGCGGTTACCTTCGCGCCCCGAAGGGTGACCCGATGGACTTCCCGCGACTTCCCAATCTTCCCATCGTCGTCGTCGTCGCCGCCGTCGTTTTCGTCGTCGTCGTCGGCGGCGGCGGCGTCGTCGTCGTCGGCGTCGTCGTCGTTCGTCGTTCGTCGTTCGGCGGTCGTCGTTCGTCGTCGTTCGCTTCGGCCGGGGAGGAAGAGGCCTGACGAGACGGCAGGCTCTGAAGGCCGAGCCCGCGCCGACCGCTATAAGAAGAACGGGGGTCACCCCCCGTGGCCCCGTGCACTGGCGAAGCTCGCACGCCCCCTGCGATGACATACAGTTGTCGCGCTGCCATCAGGATGAAGCCGGGCCTGTCCCTCCACAGGGGGAATATTAGAAAATTATCGAAAAATACTCTGGGGGCTATTTTTTGAGTATCTTTAGGCCATGTTGGAACATTGCTTGCCTATTTTTTCGATTTCGCCGAAAATCCCCCTGTAGGGGGACACGCCCGACTTAACCATTAGGATCCTTAGGAGCACCGAGAAGCAGGAGCGCAGGAGGCGCTTCCGGCCGCGGCGGGCCTCGGCCACGGAGGAGCTCCCCGACCGAGATCCGAGGGACGACCCGAAAGCCAGGGCCCCCTCTGAGCCGAACGCGCTCTTTTTGGTAGTCCCCAAACGTGGTGGTGACAACACCTGGCGGTGAGTCTCGGGCGATTTGGTGTCACCACCCGGTTTGGGGACTCGTGCGGTTTTCCGAGGATGTCCTGGACGCTGGTGGGTCCAGGAGTCACAAAACCCGGTGGTGACCCCGCGTCCCCAAACCCAGCGGAGACCTTTCTGGGGATTCCAGGTCGCCACCCGGTATCTCACCACCCGGTTTGGGGGTTCCCAATCTTTGCTCGAGCGTCCCCACAAGGGCCGGGGGTCTTACAGTCATCGGCCTGACCTCAGGAACGATAAATGAGGAACGAAGCCCCTCTCCATCCCAAGGGATAACGCATGAGGAGCGATGAACAATAGATAACGCATAAGGAACTGTAAATAACGCATGCAAACCTGAGGAACGACCGAGCCCCTTCTGAAAAGTAAGTGTTCCTTCTTCAAGCCGCTCACTGTATTCGAGCGTTCATTTGTGCCCCAGACCCCATCTTTCAGGGTACTCTTTCGAGCCCGACCGATCTGTGAGGGTCCGGGGGCCCGAGCCTGGGCGAAAACGCCCGGCGTGGAGAAATGGCACCGCCAGGATCTCAGGGCCGTTCTCCTGAGCAAGGGCTCCCAACTTCGCGCTTCGCGCTGCGCGAAGCGCGAAGTGCGAATAGCTTCGCGCTCTCGCGCCGCCTCCCAGGGGGGAAGAGGAGGATGAGGAGGAATCGGAGCCGAACCGCGAAGCGCGAAGCGCGAATAACTTCGCGCCCTCGAGGGCGCCCTTGAGGAACGACCCGAAAGCCAGAACCCCCTCTGAACCGAACGCTGTCTTTATTCGAGCGTCTCCACTGCACCTTCCCCTGACACCGCGCGGCCTCTCACCAGCGATATCTGGCTGAGGGCCTGGCGTAGCTGACCGAGTCCCCTTCACCAGAACATGTAGGGTGGTATGGTTACGGAATGGAGTCGATCCTAGGTTCGAGCCGAAGGCCAAAGAGCGCGATGGAAAGTAGCTGGCCGACTGCTGATAGCTCCGAGAGGACGCGCGCGCGTGCTGATCGCCTGCGTCATGCAGAGGCTCGTCGAGCGAACACGACGACACCAACGCCTGCAGTCTCCGGACGCTCCTGGCAGCCATCGCCCTTGCCAGCCTGCAGCGCCACAGGCTGCAGAAGGGCCGCTGCCAGCTCGCCCTGCGAAGAAGGGGCTGCCCCGGAGCTCCGACAGGGAGTCCGATGCGACCCGAACAAGCCTCGACGACGCTGTGTGACACACCCGCCCACTCTCCTCATTTTTATTTGTTTTGTTTGTTTTGTTGTTGTTTTTGTTTTTTGGGGGGGGGGGGCTGCCGCGTGCTGCGCCGCTCTTCCACGGCTCCCTCGTCTGATCCCCCCTCGCCCACGACGCGCGTGCCCCGCGCCCCGTGGGGCTACGCCCAGCACGCGGACGCCTCCCGCACTGGAGGTCGGCAGCACAGGAGGCCGTGGGGGGGTAAAAAAACAAACAAAGACAAAAACAAAAACAAAAAAAAACTGCGCGAGCACGACGAGATCCCGGAGTGCAAGCAGCTCGCCGAGCGCGAGCTGCCACGCCCGGGAGGAGATCCGCTCGACGAAAGAGCACACTGGCGAGTGTTTCGCTCGAGGGCGAGAAAAGATCGGCGGCATGTCGATGGGAGGAACGGGGAGGTGCGGCTGGACGGGGGGCTCAAGCAAAAACCTACCTATTGGATGGAAGGCAGTGCTTCAATCGTGCACGCAAAATAGCGAAGTCCCACGGGAAGTGCCAGCAGTTCCGCGAAATCAGAAAAACTGACCCATGACAAGTAACGCAAGTCCTCCTGGCTGTGGAACCCTCAACAATCCCCCCTCCACCGCCACGACGACGACGACGACGACGACGACGACGCTGCGACCCGCTCGCGACCAACGCTCGGGGCATGCGCTCGCGACCACGGCCAGCGACCCCCGCGCTAATCAACTCGGCCCCGCCACCCACCACCGCGACACGCTCCTGCGACCCGCGGCCCGCGACACGCGCCCGTGACCCGCGACCCACGACCCGCGACCCGCGACGCGACCCGGGCCGATCGCAACCACTTGGGGCCGATCGCAGCCGCTTGGGGCGGACTCCAACCAGTTGCGATTGGCCCGATGTGGTTGGGATTTGTGGGGTTCGCTTACACATTGTTTTGATAAGCAGAGGCTCTCCAAGAGAGCTTCTGGAATGAGTGAGCTGCCTAAGCTCACCAGTGAAATTCTAGAAAAAACACTTGCGATCGGACCCATCGCAAACCACGAGTAGTAGTAGTCGTAGTAGAAGTAGTAGAAGCAGCAGCAGCAGCAGCAGCAGCAGCAGCAGCAGGAGTAGTAGTAGTAGTAGTAGTAGTAGTAGTAGTAGTAGTAGTAGTAGTAGTAGTAGTAGTAGTAGTAATAGTAATGGTAATAGTAGCATTAGTAGTAGTAGTCGTAGTAGTAGTTGTAGAAATAGTAGTAGCAGCAGCAGCAGCAGCAGCAGCAGCAGTAGTAGTAGTAGTAGTAGTAGTAGGAGGAGTAGTAGTAGTAGTAGTAATAGTAGCAGTAGCACTAGCAGTAGCAGTAGCAGTAGCAGTGGTAGTCGTAGTAGTCGTAGTAGTCGTAGTAGTAGTAGTAGTGGTAGTAGTAGTAGTAGTAGTAGTAGTAGTAGTAGTAGTAGTAGTAGTAGTGGTAGTAGTAGTAGTAGTAGCAGCAGTAGAAGTAGTAGTAGAAGTAGTAGTAGTAGTCGTCGTAGTAGTAGTAGTAGGAGTAGTAGTAGTAGTAGTAGTCGTCGTCGTCGTAGGAGTAGTAGTAGTGGCAGTAATAGTCGTAGTCGTAGTCGTAGTCGTAGTCGTAGTCGTAGTAGTAGTAGTAGTAGCAAACATAATAGGAGCAGTAGGAGTATTAGTAGTAGTAGTAGCAGTAGTGGTACGAGTAGTGGTAGTAGTAGTATTACAAATAGTAGTAGTAGAAGTAGTTGGTAGTAGTAGTAGTAGTAGTAGTAGTAGTAGTAGTAGTAGCAGTAGTGGTACGAGTAGTGGTAGTGGTAGTAGTAGTGGTAGTAGTAGTAGTAGTAGTAGTAGTAGTAGTAGTAGTAGTAGTAGTACAGGTAGTAGCAAGTAGTAGCAGCAACAGTAGCAGTAGCAGTAGCAGTAGCAGTAGTAGTAGTAGTAGTAGTAGTAGTAGTAGTAGTAGTAGTAGTAGTGGTTGAAGTAACAGAATTAGTGTCGCTATTACTGCCACTACTGATACTATTGCTACTAGTGTTACTACTGATACGACTGGTACTACTACTGCGGCCACTACTGTTACGACTGTTACTACTACTTTTACAATTCTGACAAATACTACTAGCATCACAGCAATTACTGCTACAACTACCACTAACACTGCTACTCCCACTCCTACGACTGAAACTACGACGACGAGTACGACGACTACGAATAAGATTGGTGATAACACGATCGCTAATAACACCACGAAGAAAACCATTACTCCGACGGAAGAACCCCACATAAGAATCCTCTGGGCGAATCTGGAAAAAGCCATCACCGTCGTCCTCGTGGTTGGTGAGGCGTCCTGGCTGTCTCTTCTGCGTATATTTCCTCTCGCCTTGGCGCGGGCCCCCCTTCCACTCCTTTCGTTGTCCCCATCCTCGCCCCTGTTGGTTTCCGCGCCACCACCTCCTCTTCCTGGTGCATGAGGCGCATGTCGATGTTCCTCGGCGCCGTCGCCGCCACGGCCAGCACAGGCGCGTTCTCTACAGGTCACGTCGCGCAGCCGTTTGGACAACCCCGCGGGCCAGGCTGTCGGGACAACCCCGCGAGCCGTTGGCGCGCAAGACCAAGCCGTTGGGACAACCCCGCGGGCTTCGAGCGAGGCGCTGCCGCGCTCAGGCGGAAGGCAGCACGAAGCCCAGCTCTGCCGCGAGCTGCTTCGCCTCCGCCCTGGACAAAACCGTTCTCTTGTCGAACTCCAGGAGCGCCTTCCGCAGGGACGCCGGCGGCCGGCACTCCAGGAACTCTCGCGGCGGCGGCCGCAGGATCAGCATGTTCCGCATGCACGTGGCGCGGGAGAACATGACGTAGAGGTGCAGCCACCACTGCTCGTCCGACATGCCCGTGCGGCCAGCGTCCTCGTCTCTCGCGCAGTCGTTGGTGACGCCCTTGCGCAGCGTCTGGCCCTGCGACAGCGTGGAGGTCAGGTAGGACGCGTGCGTCAGGGTGAACCCCGAGCGGCGCACGCTGTGCGCCCCCGAGCTCTGCCATGTGAACTCCCTTTCGCTGGGCCTGAACATCAGCAAGCTCCGCGCCCGCGCCTCGATCTCCCGCCTGAGACTTCCTCCCAGTTCACTCACAGACGAGGCTCCCGCCTGAGACTTTCCATATTCAGGCTTGAGGAGCCCAAAATTGACGACAGTTACCAAGTTTCCGAGGAACCGACTCGGATTACATCATGTCCTGCACGGGGCCCCATAGGGAGGGGGCTCCCGCCTGAGACTTTCTCACAATTCACTCAGAGACGAGGCTCCCGCCTGAGACTTCCTCCAAATTCAGGCTTGACGAGCCCAAAAGTGACGACAGTTACAGGTTTCCGATGACCCGCTCGGATTACCAACATGATCTGCGGGCCCCATAAGGAGGGGGCTCCCGCCTGAGCCTTCCTCAGAATTCACTCACAGACGAGGCTCCCGCCTGAGACTTCCTCCATATTCAGGCTTGAGGAGCCCAAAAGTGACGACAGTTACAGGGTTCCGATGACCCGCTCGGATTACCAACATAATCTGCGGGCCCCATAGGGAGGGTGCTCCCGCCTGAGACTTCCTCTGATTTCACTCACAGACGAGGCTCCCGCCTGAGACTTCCTCCAAATTCAGGCTTGAGGAGCCCAAAAGTGACGACAGTTACAGGGTTCCGATGACCCGCTCGGATTACCAACATGATCTGCGGGCCCCATAGGGAGGGGCTCCCGCCTGAGACTTCCTCGCAATTCACTCA